ATGGCACCTGCTTTGAGTTCATGAATGACACCACCACGGGGTGAAGACCCAGGGAATTTACAATTTTAGGCTGACAGGAAACTGTTAATATCTCACAAAGTGGGAATTCTGCAACAGACCTCACAATAAACATTGCCAGTTTCTACTTTCAGAGCCGCTAACTACTACCTACCAAAACGTGTCTTAAACACAGAGCACGTTTTGTTGAAACATTCTCTTAGGACAAACACAGCAGACATGCTTTAAATAAATTAAAATTGCAACACATAAATCACTCCTAAAACAATCAAGGTACATTACTTTCTAGCTTCTTATAAACAAACTTCAGAAGATGATAGGTTACTTCTGCTTTGTATTTTTTTTTTTTTTGGTAGCCTCTTATCTATTTTTGATGTGAAAAGGCCGTTCTCATAAGCCATTTATCTTTTTTTTTTTTATTTTTTATTTTTTTTTATTTTTTTTGAGACAGAGCCTCAAGCTGTCCCCCTGGGTAGAGTGCCGTGGCATTACAGCTCACAGCAACCTCCAACTCCTGGGCTCAAGCGAGTCTCCTGCCTCCGCCTCCCAAGTAGCTGGGACCACAGGCGCCCGCCACAACACCTGGCTATTTTTTGGTTGCAGCCGTCGTTGTTTGGCGGGTCCGGGCTGGGGATTCGAACCCGCCACCTTCGGTGTACGTGGCTGGCGCCTTAGCCGGTTGAGCTATAGGCACCGAGCCCCATTTATCTTTTTAAATCAACTCCTTCCTTGACGTATGTGCTAAGCTTCTTGGAACACCTCGTCAGGTAAGCCTTGGATTTTAAATGATGCTATTTCTCCCTCTCCAAGCCCACTCCTCCAAATTAGAGAAACAAGCCAAACAGCTTGTTTAATCACACATGTTCATATTAATAAGGGTATTTAAATGTTTTTCCGAACTGATGCAACAATATCTGGATTCACTACAAAAATTTCCTCAATCAAGGCGAAATAATTTGGTACAATTCGACCAAAAAGAACAAAAGCAATTAGTTGCCCGAGGGAAGTTAGTTCCCTCATTATTTTTGAGCACATAATTAAACCTAATATGCTAGAGAAATGGCAAGGCAATAAACCTACACAGAGGGGCAATATTTAAATGAAAATGAGAGTGACAAAGAGGAAGGCTAGATCACTGACTGCTAATTGACAGCGGGTGACACCCTCATTGGCGGGAACGAACGTGGGGTTTCAGAAGATTTCTGTTTATCAAGAAGTCACGGGGATCAAAACCATTAACATTATAAGCTAGAAGCTTGGGAGCAATCCTACTTCCACTGTCCCGAACCAGTGAAGGAGTGCTTTTAGTTGATGCTTTGTTATGGGTTTATAATTTTGAGGGTGAGATGGTGGTGTTGCTCTGGCTTAACCATACTCAAAATGTATAAGCTGAAAGAACCAATTGAAAACTCGCAAGAGAATATTTTTAAGTTTTTGTTTCACCCTCAACAAACTATCATTATCCTGGTGATCATGAAAACATGTCACCAAAAAAAAAAAAAAAACAGCACTGGGTCAGGTGCAGTGGCTCATGCCTGTAATCCTAGCACTCTGGGAGGCCAAGGCAGGTGGATTGCCTGAGCTCACAAATTCAAGACCAGCCTGAGCAAAAAACCAAGGCCCCGTCTCTACTAAAATAGAAACACTGAGGCAAGAGGATAGCTTGAGCCCAAGAGTTGGAGGTTGCTGTGAGCTATGATGCTATGGCACTCTTACCCAGGGCAACAGCTTAAGAAAGAGTCTGTCTCAAAAAAAAAAAAAAGAAGAAACAGCGCTCAAATCCAAAGTCTAGCATATTAAGTCAATCTATGAGTTCACTCAGTAACCAGGTATTTAATCATATGGCTACTAGTTTTCCCCTCTAGGTATGCACAGGATGTCAACTACGAATGAAAGGTGCAGAAAAGAGGCCAGGTGATGTAAATGTAAATTAAATGCCCAATTTCAAGGCATGTCATAGCTCTATCACAATTTTGCATTGGAATATTCATAAAATTTCATTTCATCTACTTACAGTGAAGAGAACAAGTAGTGGGAGGGTTTATTCCTTAAGAGAATAAGCTGCAGAGACTAAAAAGTCTTGGAGTGTATCATTTACACTAAAGAGTAAAAAGCCTCATGAACTTTGAGTACAACTCTAAGATAAATATGCCGAGGAGGCTGAGCACACCCAAGTGAAAACAAGGTTATCCGACATTTAGGGAGAGTCAATGAGAGAGCGAATTCTTCAAAAGGAATTCGTGATTGGGGAGGATGATTTAGACCCCACGGTGTTTCAGAATAGAGCCAGTTTCTAGGAGCTTCTGTTAATAGCTCCAGACTGGAGGGGGTGGAAAGTGCTGCTTTCTGTTTCCTTCTATGCTTCTCTCACTGGGGAGAAGGCACACTGATCACAGGTCTGAGTCGCGCCCATCAGAGCAAGCTGGCTGGGCCCAGTGCTGGAGTAGGGAGAGCCGCGGCACCAGAACGAGTCTCCTGGAGCTGGCCGCAGCCCCCTGCCTCAAAGGCTGGCAATCTCACTCCTTCTCTGAACTACCAGCAGCATCTACACGCACCCCAACCCCAGCATGTCCAAAATGCCTCTTGGAAAGATTAGCTATCAGGAGAAGCCCACCCAGGACCCAGTTTGATACAAGCATGTTACACCCAACTCTTGGCCCCATATGGAGTCTGATGCCCACAGGTAAAGGGGAGTGCTGGCCATCAAAATATAAAAGCAAAAGGAAGCACTCCCTTCCCTTTCTCTCCCTGCCCTGGACTCGATGGCCCAGCATGTACATATCAACTTGGGAGACCCCAGGGGAGCCCAACATAGGGGCACAGCCAGGAGACCGGGTGAGACTAGTAATTTCCCCTCCTTCAATACAAAATACTCCGGTTACGTAACCAAAGACTTCTTAAAGTGACATTTATTGTCTTAAAAACTTTGGGTCTAGAATCAGTGGTGATGGTTGAACAAGTTCGTGAATTTACGGAAACCACTGCCTTGTACACTTAGGAAGCTGGAGGTGCATGAGTCTCACTCACACTGCACGTAGACTAAATCCTCAACTATTCCATTCTCTCAAACCACGGAACATTCTATCACATTTATTTTCAGGAGATTTCCCTAAGAGTAGCTGTTTGCAAAATATTGCATTTAATTTAAACCCAGGATCTCTGATGTCTTCTGGATGAAAATATATACTGACGTGCCTCTTCACGCCTTCGGCGAGTGGCGGAGGTGGTGGGAAGAAGGGCTCACCAACAGTTTCCATTAGAATTTTCATTTTTGTTATGCACGTGGAAAAAGAATTAAAGGAAAGTATCATCTGGGCTGAAGACAGTGAGCGCAAGCCCCATCACGCATGTTAACTTCAGCTTGGTAGCACTGTGGCCATCCCATCACCTCGGAAGTTGTTTTCAGCAACATCCTAAGTGACAGGTGGCAACCTTGGCTCAAACACTGGATTTAATTTATTTTATCCTTGCTGGCCTTTTGCATCCTTAAAAGGACCCTCTCAATCTTCATCCAGGTAAACCGCTCCCACTAATCTTGCCACTATCCAATTAGACCAAATGTCCTATTTTCCTCATGCTTCCAGTGTTCCCACACTTCAGTGCACTCCAGCTTTACAAACTAAGATTCTGTGTCCTTCATGAAATAAAAAACCCCCGGCAACATAAGCATTTGTTTTCATTTCCTGAGTAGGCTTTGCAATCCCTGACAAATCTGTGAATAAAATGAATCACAAAAAGTGAATCACATCCTCGAAGGGGGTTTATCACAATTAAGATTTGCCAAAACACAAAGCTCCAGAGTGGTGGTCATAGGACCTCAAATTAGTGCGCAAGCCACAGTTTGCTACAGGATTTGGAAACATTCCTGCATGCTTTGGAGGCAGGGTGTTTGCTAACCCGGTAAGATGAAGTCAGCACGTGGTTCCCTGGGCATAAGAAGGGGAAAGCCCCATTCATCAGTTCTTGTGTCTTACCATTTAAAAGCAAAACCCTAAATGCAGATTTTTGTTGGATAAACAGGTGTATTATAAGGTTTCCATGACAGCTAGGTGTGCTGGTGCACCCTGCTTGTCCCAGCTACTTTGGAGACTGAGGTGGGAGGATTACTTGAGTCCAGGAGTGAGTTTGAGACCAACCTGGGTAACAGAGGGAGACCCTGTCTCTACAAAGAGAAATAAAAAGTATCTCCTGTGTTACAGGGCCACACACAATTGACCACTGTGGACACTGGGCACATAATGGGACTTAGGGTTATCTGGGGACAAGCAGGGTGGATTACACAGTGACTGATGGCACTTCTGTAGGCCTTTAGTGCTCAACACTGCCACGTCTGTGGCCCTTCACTTCCCCAAATCAGACATACCCTTGCTGTTCCCGGGACTCAGGGAAAACAAACTGTTAGCAACAGTGATGCTTAATTCTGACAGTGATGTGAGGGAGGGAGACCTCTTTTCTCCTGGGTCACCAGTTATGTCCCGGGCTCAATAAACAGAGGTTTACCAGGCTGGGCTAATCAGGAGAGCAGGAAATCTAGTCTGATTAAGGCAGTGAGCAGTGTGGGGAGAGCTCGGAAAGAGATTCACATTAACCACGTACAGGGACCGCTCGGCAACTGCTACTGAGTTAGGAGGAGCACAGTTATTTACACCACACGGCCCCAGGTCGTCTTGCACACATCAAATGGCACAATCATTCATTTTAAAATTTGGTAGTATGCACAGAGTTTTTCTTTCTTTAAATAAAAACTTTAAAGAACTTGAAGGTAGGAACCAGTG